CTATGCTCATTATAGCACTTAATTTCCACACGTTATTGATTGGTTATAATTTCAGATTCCAGAAATGCCATGCTGAAGTTTTGACCCTCTTTCTGGTTTCCGTCCAATCCGTCTGGCGAAGTAGTTGCTCTAAGACTGCTCAGGAAATCTTCAGCTTCTTATGTCTCCTTACTATTGCAATGTTCTCTCTCGACCTTGACCCTCGTTCTTGCATTATTCTACACTTTCCTCTATCACCGCCGATCAGCCTTCACCAAGTCGTTTCCAACCTTCTCATGCTTATCACCACATTGTTATACATGATAAAAGCGAAAGTCTTCGTCGTTGATCATTCCTTTGTGGGATGGATTCTACTTCCATTCAGAATCGTAGTGGCTTATTGAATGCGATGTGGCCTATACAATGACTTGCGGGGGCCAGCCGATGTACAAGTCAGTGCTCTTATCCTCCCAGGCGAATCTGGTACCAATTAACCGTCCCCGGAAGGCTAGTTGGCCTGGGCGGGGGTCGACCCCCGTTTTGAAGCTGAGACCGCGCGAGTGGCAAGCGGTATACAACACATCGAAAAATCACTCCAACTCCACAGCTATTCCGGCAAATATGCTCCCTATTCCTTTCTTCGCTCAGGCCCAAGTTCGCCCATACAGCCTCTCCAGAGGTCGCCTCATTGTCCGACAGGGTGATCGGTACCTCAGGGATCAAATGGTTCCTGCAAAAGACTGCAAGGAACATCATGGAGCTCCCTCCTTCGCTACCAAGCAGAACCCACCTGATCTGGATCAAATTACACTCACATAAACATAGGCATGGGAGTAGTGGTCATTCTCTTAGTTCTGGAGTCCCCCCAACGAAAAATCTACAGGCCAGATACGCTGCAAACGCCTACACGAGTCAGACCGTAAGTGATATGCTGCATATGAGCTCTGAGATGGACCAACAGGGTGCGCTTACCCTGGTGAAGTGTTCAAACGTCCCGTCACACCCATGACCTTAATGATCACTACTCTGGAAATAGGCCGAACTGCAAGTAAGACGTGATTCTTACTGATTCTTGCTGATTAAATATGTTGGAGGGGATGATTGTACGGTTTCGTGGTAGGGAAGGGCATTCGCGGGGGCCCGAGCGGCCAGCGACGATGGTGCGCCAGTCGTCCTTGGGCCGTCACAATCCCGATGGATAAATTAATAGAGTTTTCACTGTCCGCGCGGCATAACCTGACCGCGATTGATCGTTCCGTACGTTGCTGATCGTATCTCGCCATCTCGTCCGCCCACCTACTACAGCTCTTGTGAGCGCCACTTTGGGTAGACAGGGTTAGGTCCATATCAGTCCTCGATCGGCGGGGTCCACGTCGTGTCCTTCCACGCTGACAGCTGCTGCTGCTGTTGCTACGCTGCTGCGGTAAACTCGAGAAAATCCCAACCAGTTTTTGCCAACCATTGCGTGTTTTTTGCTCACATCTAAGAAACGATGGATACATCCGGTCAAGACCGACAGGCGAGTGAAACCGATGGATGATTGAAAGAAGTGGTGAACGGCTGAGAAAAACAACGCAGATACGAGAAAGTTAAGCAACCCCCAACCCTGCGCGAAACCCGTTCGTTGTGGATGTCGAACTCGTCAATCAGCGTCAGCCGGTAAATTTCACCGATGATGTTGATCGGCTGCGTTATCTGGGGCGGTCACCTCATTTCAATAATTGGTGATTATACCGTTCTCGAGGGACACAGACACCATAAATGCATGTGAAAAACAGCAGGAGAAAGTATCAATGAAAGCTTACAAATCCGGCGAAAATTTCGGTCCGATCGGTCCCTCAACTGCGCTCCGGTATTGTACCCACATTTGTTAACATAGAGTTGAGATATACATTATTATTAATAAGGAAAGGAATGGTCATATTCCCACTAACGTCCGGAATTGCACTGTGCTCTATAATCAGGGTATGATCTAAATTTGGGGATCCTCAGTGAAGGTGAGGTAGTATTTCATTGTTTTTTTATTTCCAATTTTCTGCCACTTTTTCGGTTTTACCACTTATGGGGAAGCCGAGGAAGTGGCAGAAAACTGGGAATTTTCCAAAAAAATAATGGTACGTAGTATCGGGTATGGGGAAGGAGGGGTTGTACCACATGATTAAATTTTGAGGCGTGGGGTCGTGGTTTGCAGGGACTTCCCCCAACAGCAGGGCCCTGTACTTCAGAGGCATGAATATGTACTCGGTCTAAAGTAGTAGCGGGGATGCTATATAAAGAGAAAATGACGAGAAGCGAAGTGAAACGGTCAAAAAACCTGTAAAAAATACTCTTCTACACTACTCAGAGAATTCGGACGAGTTTCCGCTGGCATCGTGCCAATAACCGCTACGGTAGATACGGCTGCATGTAGTACTCATATATCCATGCAGCACCGCAGCCGCTTCATATCAGTCCCTTCGCTTCATATTGTACTTCGCAAATAAAGCGATACGAGCGTCAGATCAGTCGGACATTTGTGGGCGGGCAGATGCTGTGGGCGTCCAGGTTGGTATGTTGCAGATTGGTAGGGCGTTATAAAGGTACCTTCGCAGGAAAAGGCGCCACGCAGTGCCTACTCAAGGAATTCTGGCCAGCTAGGCGTATCGTACACGTCTTAGAGATTTATCGTGCCACTTGCCTTGAGTGCTTTGGCGCCTTGGAACGTTGCACAGCTTTCGTTATTTTGTAACTATTGCCCCTCTTTTCGAAACCAAAATCAAAGCCAATTTTCAGACGACCTTTTTCCCCATATTCTAAGTGTTCTTGTTCGAAAAGCCAGGTTTTATTATTGTTACAACTTTCATAGGGATTCATGATGTTCTAAATTTACTCAAACTGGTTGCTGGCTAATCTACAGTACTCGCCTCAAGTGATCGAAAAACAACGAAAAAACGCAACTTCCTGTTTTTTTCGTTTTTGCTACGGCGCTTTTTTAAACAAGTGTTCCTTTACCTCCAATAAGGTTAGGATCGGCTCTCGCACTGCATACGACAGCTTCTTCCAAACACTGCATACGACAGCTTCTTCCAAGTTGCAATGGGAAAATACATTACTTTACTTCCGTAGGGGTGGTCGCATTTGGGCTAGGGAAATTTTCTCGAATGTTGATTTTACCGTTTCATGCACCCTTTTACCCTCCTCTGAGTTGGCAGCGCGACAAAACTTCTATTTCTTATTAGGGGCGATCGGAGTCGCGCCGTCGGAGGAAACTTGATGAAAAAAGTACTTAACATCACGAAGTGCTGATTCTAGCCACACCAAAGGGTCAACTAGGAAAACTTAGTGGAAAAGGCGCTATTGAAAAAAAAAATATCGAAACCGCGCCCTTGCCCTTATATTTCGAAAAACTGAGACGAGTAACGTATAAGGTTTATGTGATCTGGATCCGTTCCTTGAGAAGCGTTACATCATTTCCCTACCCTGATTTTCCCCTCAAAAAAGACTTTCCTGGAATACGATCTCGTCCTAAGTTACTGCTGTTTGAACTAATATTTTGACTCCAGCTGAAGCAGAGATATGGTAGGGAACCGTTCACGTTGCTGCGTCCACTTTTCACGACGGTTAGCTCCTGCGTGCTGAATATTTATGACCCTTCGTCCCATCTGAACTTCCCAAATAACAGGCGATGAAATATTAGACCATATTGTTAGTTGTCTCTGAAAATATTCGGACATTCCGCAAATTACTGCCCCTTTCTGCTTGCTCTGTGCTGCGGCGGTCAAACAGAAATTTTTTAAACGTGAAAGAGGAACGAAGCTTCTGCCGTCTGCACCCACAACTATCGATCCTCCCAATGAAAAGAAACGAAGGTGAGTGTGCAAAACTCATATGGCCGTCCATCGGTCTCGTTCAGAGCGTGCTGGAAATTTGAATGCGCTTTAGCCCTTGTGAAGAATCGCGAACCAGCCATGTACAACTCAGTGTTCTCGTTTTCGCCCTTACCAGAAGTCTAGTACTAACTACAAGTAAGGAACCATGAGGGATGGAGTACCTCATAGGAGAAGGGGGAGAGGCGATCGACGATTCAGTCCATGAAGTCGCGTGAAGAGAAACCATGCGATTGTAATTGTGGGCAGTGCCGTCAAGTTACAAATCTAAAGTTGCTAAATGATTCTCCAGGGAAGAAAAGAGCAAGAAAAAGTCATGAAGGTCAAGGACCAGCTCGTTTTATACCAGCAAAGCGATATCCTACCCCTTTGGCTCACCAGCCGTTTCTTCGCGTGATTCAATGCCAATACCACCAAACGGTAAAGAATAACAGCGTAAAAGTTCGTGACAGAAATACCTTCTGAGTCCTGGTGGGCGGGGCAACTGGGGAGGCGTCAGAACTGCCACTTATGCTGGCCGCAGAGCCTTCCTTACTAGCTGTGAAGCCGCGAAAGTGGGATAATTTCTGAGAATGAGGTCCACACTAATTCACAAGGAAGGATGCTTGCCAGTTGTTCGAGCGGGGGGACTACCATTAAGGCGCCACTTGCCACTACACCACTTCTGCCCACACAAAAGATACTTTTTCGAGTGTAATCAGCATCCTGCCTATGCGTTGCTAAGATGCGCGTAAGAAGCTTTCTTCTATGGAAAACCATTTGAGAGCCAAAACACATCTTGAAGGAAGAGAAGCTTTCGTAGAAGCTGTCAGCCTTCCGCTAGCTATTTCAAATATCAAACGCACTTTCAAATGCTTAGATGATTCTGAATGAATCAACACTTAAGCTTTTTAACTTTATCCTTCATATGTTGCAATTTAATTAAATTTTCTAGTATTTTAATAAATTGTACTTATAGTTAAAGCAATTCTATTACACATCAAACTGAGAATCAGCTGCATTCAGTTGAATATAATCAGTCTTAATTTATGCCTATGTATGCGTTTCGTCACAATCATTTAGCTAAGTGTAACTGATTTTTCGGTGACGACTCGTGACCGCCGCCCGAGCTCCAATAGGAAGTGTGGCGCATTTCAGGTTCTCTCGTCGCCGGCCATGGATCCGTTCCAATGGCAACAGTATCCACAACCGGGATCCTCGTCATCTGTGTCCGGCACTTCAGAACTATTTAGGTTCGTCCGAATGCATATCTCAAACTCTTTTCTTGAGGAACATTATTTTTGGTTTTTGCCTTGCCTGCCGTTGCTTGAGCTTCCAGAGAATTTCTCATTTTACTGTGATTTGATCACTTGGCAGAATGTCATTTTCCAGAAGGCTGACGAAGCACTTATTTTTCCAGCTCAACGTTCGCCATGTTAAGCGACACCTCTACCGCTACTTATCCAGAGCAGTGGCATGAGAACAAGTCTGGTGAGTGATCTCCTTCCGGGCTGCTGCTGATTATTAATAGCCTTTTGGATTAATATGCATTACATATGTGCTCATGAATTTACCGAACAAGCTCGTTCTCTGCCCGCTACAACAATTTGCCTTTCGAAGTCGCTCCTAGACCACAGATGGGAGGAACTATGAGTCCTTGAGGCTCAAAGACAATCTGTGCGCGTGGGTCCTGGTCTTTGCCATGTATGGGTCTGCAGCCATATACGCTCGAACGTTCACAAGAGTGGGCTTGAGAATAGTGATACCTGGTTGCCGCCTCCATACCCCACCTGCGCTCCCGCACCCGCTACACGCCCAACCGTAAACGCTCTACCCATCTGACCCTTTTACAACCACTTGTTCTCCAACACTGACTGTTCGTTAGCTGCAGGATTATCGCATCGTCGCAAGTGCCAGGCCTTGAGGATAGCGCGAGCGAAGTTTAAACGGAAGGCACACCCACTACCTTTTAGCCTTACATTTTTCCGCCTGGTCTTAAGTGACGAAAGTGTTGCACTTGTACAGCTGCCAGTCCTTTATCCTCGCACATGGCAAAGACCGTCCTCGTAGGTGATTGTACATCTTATCTTCAAACTATCAGTATCAGTCAGAAACAAACGATTGGTTTTACCTATTTGAGTCATTGGAAGATCCCTTCATGAAACCAAGGGGTATTTCACGTTTCTTAAGGCGCCTGTGCAGCAAAGGACAATTTGTTTTAACGATTAAATATTTTCGCTTTGCTATTTCTTTTGTAGTTTCCCAGGAAGTCTACCGACCATTAGGAAAGAAAGCGACCACTCCTTCCTGCTCAGCCCTGTTGCAGGAAATGTGGTTTATCACAGATTGTCTTCCCTGTGATAAACGTTGATTTCTTAAATTTTATGAGAACTGGTGTTTTGGGTCAGTTGATGGAAATTGTGCTTTTATTTCCCGTCATGTAGGGGCGACATCCCTCGGCAAGGCCCTAACCCTCAGCATTTCAACTTTAATGCATTTTAATGCATGTAAGCATTTCATTACAATGAAACTGGCGTAGTTTGAAGGCATATGGCACGATAAGTTGGTAGCCTGGTCTATCTTCAAGCTAGGAGGGTGCTAAATAATGGGGGAAAATGGCGAAAAATCGAAGTAAGCGTCAAATACCTGCGGAGAGAAGCCTTCGATCTCCACGACTCAGATAGCAATTTTGAACGATTCCATGTGGGCTTCGTGCCAATAAACCACTACGCCGGCACCGGCTCCATGTGTGTGTACGCATATACCTATGCAGCAAGGCAACCGCTTCATGTCAGTCCCTTCGCTTCATATTTTACTTCGCAAATGAAGCAATACGAGCATCAGGTACGTCGTCCATTTGTGGGCGGGCGGGCGCGGTGGGCATCGGGTCGATATGTTGAAGCTTGATAGGGCCTTATAAGGGTGGTACCTTCCCCAAAAATGGGGCTAGAAAGCGACTGCCCAGGGGCGCGGGATTCCGCCTTGCCTGGCATATTCATCCTATTCGTCGATTTTTCAGGGCACCTTTAAACACACCTTACCTTATATACCTTCGAACAAACAACTCAGCATTTTCACTTTCCCAAGCAATAGTGGTGTCATTGAATCGAGCCTGAATGCGAGGCTTGGTTGGCCTGAGCGCGATCCAGTCCAGTTATTCAGAAAGCCTATCTTAGAAACATAGCCGCGCATCGCCAGTACGATATACGGCGCGCGACGATGCGGCGACAAATTACGATTGTCTTGCCCGGCTCCCGTAGTACCCATTTCGTGTCACCATCCTATCAAGTCTCATGCTAGCGGCAATCTTCTCGTGAAATCAGAGGTAGCCTTCTCTCCTCACCATGTGGTCCCTCATCAGAAAAAATCCCCAGAAAGGGGATGCTCTGAAATTTTGCGCACTTAGAAACTTCCAAAAGTTCAGAATGCGACTCGACGTTCTACTTTGACGCTGTGCCGGGTCCATATGGGCAGCCGCCGAACAATATGTACTATCCTGTACATGAACAAAGGTCAGTTGGATACACTTACATGCTATCGCCACGGAAGCGTCAGTACTTTCACGCAGATCGAATAAGGGGGAAAAGGGTCAATGGAGAAAAAGCATTGCATGTTAGGCTGCAATCCTGGAAATTACTTCTGCCAAAATTCCAATGGCCGAGAATTCCAACAGATTGATAAATTTCGCCGTGCAACACTGCAATTTTAAGGATTCTCTCAAATGGCAACCCTGTTGAATTGCGATCATTTCTTTTAGGGAATTCTTGGCTGCTGTCTAGGCAGACAAGCTATGAACCCTTGACTCTTGTCTATGCAGCTATGACCAGACCCTCCGAGCCGTTATCTACGCTCGCTTTACGGTCACTTCCTATGTATCATTTCAGATTTCAACAGTCTTTTCCGGATGCCTACCACCGTGTCGCTGCTCCACAATTCGAGCATCAAGTGCCATTATCGGAACCGATTCAAATCACTGCCAATTATCCTCCAATGCATTTCAATCATCACCAATCTCAGCAAAAAATCGACGTTAGTTCTTTAGTCACCCTCAGAGCCAACTCTGGCTCCTCATTTGAATTTCAAGGCATGGATTCCTGTTGTGTCTATAAGTCTACAAGTTTAGTTCACATCGTCAACAGCACTTTCAATGGGAGCCGGTCAGCCTTCAGCACCTCCTCAGACGATTCTTCCCACAGCTCCACTGCCTCGTCCATCTACCGTATCTCCCTGTGAGCAAACGTCACTTAGCAGCCCAACATTGACATCAAATAGCGGCTCGGCTGCTTCCGAGACTCCACCCATTTCCGGAGAGGCGATCTCAACTGACTTGGAGGTGGGTACTTAGAGTTAGGTACGTTGAAATGTAATAATCTTCCGAAAACACAGATGATATGCAAGCCGTGAGTTTATAGCGATTGCTAATCAGACACCACGGTCTATGCTCTCATAAAATCGCAACAAATAAAAAATTTCATTTACCAGATTTTTTTTCATTCTAGCTTCAATTGCCACTGAATCGTGGCCAATTTCCGCGATACCTAGTTTTGCAACACCAGCTTCTCTCCCTCGATTTTCATTGAAATTCTGTTTTGTGTGTCGTACATTTCCACGTTTGCTTTTTCACATCACGGTCATCGAGCGGTTCAATCATACGATTGATTGAAATAGATCAACTTTGGGCTTCATGCTGTGTACAAGATAGTGGGCGACTGGGTGGGTTGCGGCGTGGGTATCTTAATGGTCCTGGAGCCATTTTCTAAAACGGTTTATTACATGTTGTAGAGGTTCGTGCGGAAGCCACAATCGCGTAGTTCTTTTGCGTCTGTGTACATCTGCTGCATTCCTGGAATTTTTTAAGCAAATTACTTTGTTGTCCTACAGGCAAATCGGAACCTCCCTTATGAACAAGATGTAACTTATCCGAACACACTCTGGTCAGTAAAACAGTAGAGCCCACCGCGCTAAGTTCGTTGTCATTTTTTTGCCAGCTCTGCATTGTGAGCGGAGCAAAAATTACCTTCATTTTTGTGCTCCCTGCATGGGCCCCTACAAACTCCAGCAAGCCGTTTCAGAAGTGAACTGCAGGGCCTGGAAAACCTCCTTCGTTAGGTCCCAGTTTTGTGTGAATATCCCATAATTTGTGTGAAAATCGCGGAAAATCATGGGGCGCTTTAGCTAGATGACTTTGCATGGCGAATATGGATGGATTTTTGCATGGCGACTATTCATTTCTGCAGAGATTCCTTTATGTTCCCCCCGACTAAGGTGTCGCTATCCTAAGAAATAACATGAATTTCTGTTATCTTTTTTCTTTCCGTGAGTTTCTGGATAATAGTTCCTATATCAGTAACTAGAAGTCTCTGGAAATCTGTATTTCGAGTGGATTCCAATTTATTCAAAACCGAGAATATTTTCAAAGTGCAACTTTTTGAAATATTTGTGCACAAATCGATCCAAGTGTTCACAGCATTATTCACAGCATTTCTGTGTGCAGTTTAGAATTGGACGCTAATAAACTACGAGGGAGGGCGGGGACGTATGAAGACTTCGGGGACTTGGCGCGCTGGGGCTACTGTACTTGAAACTGGTTTGCTCACTCAAAAACTTCCTCAACTTCGGGCTTACATTAGGCAAAAGCACTCTTCTGTGTTGCGGCAGTCCCTGTTTCTTTCATGGTGCCCTTTGATTGCACCCAAGGCCTATAGCGTCTTGGATTGTTG